ACCAGGACCAGGACCAGGACCAGGACCAGGACCAGTGCCAGGACTGGGACAGAACCAGGACCAGGACCAGGACTGCAGGCAGGTTCAGCAGAGCTGCAGCTTGTTCACTTCAACTTAAAGTTTCAACAAGTGAAAATATGGCTTCAAGAGTGCAAACAGTCTGACAAGAGATCAACCAGGATCCACCAAAACCCACTGAGGTCCAACAAGATCTTCAGAGATCTCGAAGCTCCTTCATGGACACACAATGACCCGCTGTAACTAAGGATCCACCAGGACCCACCGGATCCTCTGTGATCCGACCCTGATACCCAGAACTCAGTTCCTTCACTGTGAGCCTGCAGGGTTGCTGTTGGGACAGGAACCGTGGAGAACCTCTGAGGTTGTGGTTCCTGCAGCAACGCCTTGCAGAGCTCGTCCCTCCTTCATGAAGTTCCTACTTCAGAGCTGCAGCTCCCTTTGGATCAGACAAATAAATTAAACGGTTTGTTCTGAGTTCATCAGGAAGCATCGACACACTTTCTTCTACTGATTTCATCCCAAACAGTCGGACGTTTGTGGTTCTGCTGTTTCAGAACCTCTTCGTCCAGAAGCTGTGTGAATGTAACTGAGAAAACCTTCAGATACGTTTCTGTTCAGGAGGCGACTCTAATGTACGTGAAGGACTTTAATCACGTTTGTTGGTTTCTTCTTTTAGTAGATTCCAACGAGAACACGGACACGAATGTAAGAACGGTTCTGAAGTGTTTGCTGTCAGGACTTCTGTAGTTTTATAATAAAATGTGACTGATGAGAAAGTTCCTGATGATAAAAATAATTGTTTCTCTTAAGACACTTTTTCCCTTTAACGAGATGATGATGATGCTTCAGCAGATATCTGATCACAACCGATCAGCACCAATAAATTAAATGAAGGTTTCTCAAAGCTGCTGTAAAATGTTCTTTTTATTATATTGAACTTTCCCTTCAGGATGAGACAATAAAATATTTTTTATCAGGATTTTAAATAAATGTTTTCTTGTGAATCTCATAATGCCGTCGTTAACATCAGTCACAGGACTCGTGCATTAGATCGCAGGTTTTATACTCCTAATTTTAAAAAATGAAACCAAATAAAAAATTCAATTTCGTGTTTTATATTATGTTTTGATAAATTATATTTTTAATCGGGTTCTTTCGAAAACTGTTTATACTATTATTGTTTTAACTGGATCATTTTCATTTAATCTTTTAATCTCATGAACAAAAAGGAGTGACAATAAAACTAATCTTCTTTTCTAGAGTTTCACTTTACGAGTTTTAAAACGTTCTTGTTTTATGACAATCAGAACGTTTCCTGTTAAATACATTAAATGTTCAAACTTCACTTTTAGAAAGTCCTGAAACTGTAAAAATAAAAAACGTCCAGCTTCTATCTGAAGGTTTTCTCACGTTTGTGAAAAACGTTTCGGGGGTGAATTGTGAAGAGAAACAAATTCCTCATAGAGGCAACGCTGCTTGTCTCCAGGGAAAGTTGCTTCGCTGCTTCCTCTGCTGCTGAGAGGTCAACAGCTGATCTGAGGTCTGCAGCAACATTCTCTTATTGTATTTATTCCGCTATGGTGAGAACCTTCAGCGGAGTGTGGAGCTCAGCTGAGACAACCTCAGGCGACCTGAACTCCATCCTCCTTCATCTTCGTCCTCGTCGTCCTCTACAGACAGATGTTGATCTGCTTTGCCAGCTCTCGGTCCAGATCGTGGATCAGAGTGTCGAAGTCCTTCAGACTGAGTCGACAGTTGAACGGAGCATCAAAGTCCAGGAACTCGTCCACATACAGAGCTCCGCCTCCTGTGGCTCCTGACCACGCCCCCTTCTTCTCCTCATCCTCTTCTTCATCTCTACTACCTTAGACAATGACAGGAGGAGTTAAAGGAGAAAGGTTAGGGCTCATAGGTGTATATTATTGGATGGTCATAGCTTTAGGGACCGACTGAGCCTGAGTGTCTACTGTTCTGGGACAGGTGTCACCACCCTGTTCTGGGACAGGTGTCACCAC